TAGCTATGGGGATGGTTTCTGACATGACAATGGGACGCCACACGCACGCACAGGCATCATGCCGTATCTAACTTTGTCCCACCTTCTCTCCGACGTGCGGTTCTATACCCCCATCCCTGGGGATACGACGAATGTTCCCGGGACAGCGATAACCAGATATCCCCATCTCCCTGAGCTGTAAGGAAATGCAACACCGCAAGAAGTAATATAAATTATATACCAACTGCAATAATCATCAAGCAAACGATATGCTCTGTCGCCTCTGGTAATGACCCTACTCTGTCACAACTAATTAATTTTGTTGGTCGGGAATAGAATCCGTTTTATGGCAGAATGCTTCGCTATTATTTCGTTCGGCCTCGGCTTCAATTTCAGTTTCCATGTGAGTTTCACGGTTAACTGTTTTATGCAACTGCTCAATTTGCACCGAATTTTAGTGATCTTGGCTCACTCGGGATGCAAGGCAAAGTTTTGGACTGAAAAAAATTGGGGGGGGGAGAAAATGAATATTTGAAGAGGAAAAATTGATAGGAAACGACAATAATGGGGAAAGACGAGTGGTTGAGAAATAATTCTTTATTGGAAGCAAACATCTTGCATTTTTGTATTGAAAAAGTAAACACATTATCGATGGAATAGTATATTCAGGGATGCCTATCGAGGGTGCATGAAAACAGAAGACAGCACTGTTGAATTTAAAATATAGCAGGAAAACTGAAGTGATTCCCATCCAGTTTCAAAGGGACAAATATGATCGGTGGGAACAGAACCTTCCCTTTACAACACGCTGTGTTGGAAGTTATACAAAACAACAAAAAAGCATGGGACCATCGAATATTTGATATGTCCTGTGCTACCAGCAACTGTTTTCCTTAGCTGGGCTAAAGGAAAAACACCCCCCCTAAAAAAAACAGACCCTTTCTGTCAAATAAGTACGACACGTGATCACAGTCACAAACAAGATCCCTCCATCTTCAGCCTCACTTTTTGTAAATTTATGTGCAGTGGATATCATTAAAGCTTCTGACCACATTAATCACACAACTGCAATAGAAAAACCTATTCACCTAGGGGTTGATAGACACCTCCTTCCAACGAATTGCATCTTTTTGTCACATCTTTCCCAAACTGTTCGTTTTCGGGGCATCACTTCCACCCCTCTTGATCTCATTTGCGGTGTTCCGCGGGGCACGAAATTAGATCCCATAATTTTTCTCGTCATGGTAAACGATGCTGCTCAGACACCAGCAAATCGTTGGAAATATGTTGGTGATCTGAGTTATTTTAAATTAGAAATAAGCAACGACCATCAAGTATTCAATCACATATCAATTTACGTGCTGTTTGGTGTTCCAAAAACGATATGAAACTTAATCCTGCTAAATGTACAACTTTGCTTTTCTCATTCTTGCGTAATCCACCTCCTCCTCTGCATCTTAAAGTTAATGATGTACATCTATGAAGTTACTTAGAATAATCATCCAAGATGACCTAAGGTGGAACCAGCAGGTTCAGCAACTCTTTGTCAATGCTTCACGTACACTTTACGATCTAAGTAAACTTAAGAAAAATGGTATATCAACGCTATTGATCTTATTTGTATAAGACATACAGTCGTCCTGTGCTTGAATATGGTGCAGTGTGTGGTCCCCAGGTCTGACTTGCAATCAAGTTGGAAGTATTGAGAGTGTCCAGAAACGTGCAATTCGCTTAATTTCTTACCCAAATGTTTTACCATATACAGATGCGCTCAATTTTTTAAATATCAAATCGCTGTCAGACAGACGTGTTGACCTTACTTTCAACTTGCTCAACTTACTTTTTAATAGTTCTTAGTAACTGATGTGTTTTAATGATTTTAATGTTTTTGTTTACTTCCAAACAAGTCTTATGTTATATTTTAATCACTATTTATCCTATTTTATGCGTATATGTTTTGATAATCATTGCCAAGGTTGAACCTATCGTAAACCAACATTTGTAGTCTTTGTGACTTTTTTTGGGGGGGGGGCTTTTAACAATAAACCAACCATTAAACTCCGTCCACCCTTTGTGTTATGCTTTAGCCAGAAATATCAGCAAACTGGCAAAAAATTACAGTGGTGCTAATCATGGCATAGTTGTGGAGGGGGCGCGGCTCTTTTTCATTGTAGGAGCACTCAGTAGCAGCGGAGTAGCAGTGGAGAGGATTAAGTCAGAGGTCACTTCCTTGGAAACTTATTTGCTTTCCCCTTATTTCATCTTCCTGTTTCTGTCCTTTTTCCTTTGTATTTTTTACCATTTTTTTCCACGACGGCAGGACCAATGCTCCCACCCCAACAACAACGATGCTGCTGCATATTTTGGCAAAATACACATTTTGTGTAAATTTCAATACGGGCGATTCACAATTGTGCACCACCAAGAGTTTGCCAACGCATTGGCCAATCACAATGCGTGAAATTTGTTGACCCTTTCCAAACGCTCATTGGGTCGACAAATTTTGCGCATTGTGATTGGCCATCACGTTTTAAACTCTTGGTGGCGGACTATTGTGAAATGGCTGTATTGTTCCTTGCACATTGACAATGAAATTTACTTACACAGCAAATGGCTGCTTCTAGTCCGAAATGATTATACCATGTCAAATTTTCTTTTTCTTATTTTAATGAATGATACATGTACATTTATTACATGGTGTATTAAAAATATTAGAAATGTCATAAACAATTTAATTTCAATTCATTCTTTGACCGATGAGTTGAGTTTTTCAGGAACTGCTTTTTTTTCTCTACTTTTTTTCTTCCAAAGTAACAAAACAAGTTATTTATGAAATTACACAAGTTTTTGACTGTCTTCTCCCACTAATTTCACTTGGCCTCAGGGTGCAGGGAGCTCCCCCCCACTCCGCTCTTTCCGACCCTGTTCATCACTGGTAACTTGTTTCTTTCCTGCAAGCAGGAGATCCAAAATGTGGACGGTATCCGGCAGTGAAGCAGTAGCCCTCAGCAAACTTGCAGAAGTTGATCTGAACAAGCTAGAACAAGACGAAAATGTTTCAGTGCAAAACTGTGGACAAATCAAATACATACGGTAGCTTACTCAAAGAAACCTCCGCAAAAAACAACGAGGTTTTCAAGGAACAGTTTTCAGTTTGTCTTGGCAACCAAAAGTGATTGTCAACATTTGAAATGTCCCCTCTAGCTCAACTTCAAACCAATTTCAATGACATGTTTTGCATGCCAAGTCGAAACCTGACCTAAAATGAAGCCAGCAAGTTGGCGTGTTCCAAACTTCAAGCCTTTATGGAGCAATTGCACGAGTCAAGCCTAACGTACATGAACCTGTTTGTATTGGCTGACGTGCTGACTGATACTGTCGTGTGGGTGTGTTCAAAACATATCGGTTGCATGAAACAATTCCTTATCTTGCAAATTTATCACTAACTTTGTAAACTCCTCTCCATCGACTCGCCCTACTGCCACGCGGCTCATTGCACACGGAGTAAGGAAATATTTATCCTTGCTCTTTGCACAAAATCCAGCAAAAGGCACACCTGATTTAAGCATCATACCTGAGTCACATCTGTTCGAAGCAACGTTTAGTTTCCCCAAACAGGAATTCTTATGTAGAGTGCTCAAAGAGCAGAGGACGCGTCGAACAGCTGGTTGTCTTTTCACAGCGCCCTCTATCGCCGCAGAGAATTAATGAGCAAACTCTTGTTAGGCCCAACTATTGCAATGTTTCCAACTTTAATTGGGACGGTTCCAATTAAGACGGAGTAGTTGGGCAACTTCATAGTTGGGACGAATCAGCACAGTTGAGGCCCAACTAGAATTGTGCCGATTCGTCCCACTGAGCCGTGTCCGAAACGGGATTCCAGAGCTACGACTAGGTCTATTGTCTGCGCGTCCCCAAGCATTTCCAATGGAGTAAAAACCTAGACCTAGCTCTAGACAACAGATTCGGATGAAGCCCCAGTTTCAGAGTGTGCTGTGTGCTCTCTGAATGTTGACCCATTTGCAGATGCGATTTTTATCATTTCCTAACCACTCCGTTGCGATTGGGACAGCTCCACCTAGTACTGTATCTCCCAAATAGTAATTGGGACCGATGCGCACAACTACAGTTGGACTATTGCCATAGTTGGGTAGATACGACACTTAGTACCAAAACTTCAGATTGACGGCGATGTTGAAGCTTGCCTGTGGCGTGACTGTCAGAGTGTGCTGGTTCGACATAGTAGAAGAAAAGTTCTGCGGAGTGTTGGACCTTTCTGTACAAATCGGTAACTCCTCCAGTAAACACGCATGTATTTTATCCCTCAAACGTAAGGATTATGGATTAAGAGTAATCTATAAAAAGAGGTAAGAGTAGGACTATATCACCCCGTGGTAACGCTATCACTGGTCATCTGCCGTGACCCCTGGCCTGGTAATAAAGTAGGCCTATACAGTCGAACATAGATAAGAAGAGCAATGTTAAAACAAGGTCATATTTTATAATAAGGACAATTTTAGGTCCCCAAGTGTTTGTTTTTCTTTGTTTTCCATTACTGATAATATAAGGTAACTATAACAAGGTAATTTGTGAAGAACAGTGTTCCACTGTACTTACATAGGCCTAAGTAATAAAGGCGGTAGGCTAATAAAGTACAGTCCAGAGCCACTGTTGCTTGACACTGTCATTGACAGTCGCTCTGCACAAAATACAGTCCGCCATTAGATGGGGCCTTTGAGGGTGACCAGTGAAATGTCGCTTGCTAGTTATTGTCGTCTGTAGTTACTGGTACTTAAAGTTTAGCAGCAATGAAGTTTTCTCAACCAACTGAGACACAAAGATGTGTTTTGAAGGTCCGAGTTTCTGGAAAGTAAAACACTTGTCATTCCTCACCGATAAGATTGTAGAGAATCTTTAAGATCCCAAGAATTTGAGTCAGAACAAATCCATCCCGGTTTCTTCCTTTGAACAGACTTTCAATCACTTAAAACGAACAGGAAACAATCTATGAATTGGACGAATGTGTTTACAGAAATAATATTAAGTTTATTTCAAGAAATTAATAGTTGCAAAAGCCTTATTCATATAAATACAATGGAATATAATGCAACTCTATATAAGTCAGTTTCTATTATGAAAAAATTCACTTTACGAAGCAAAAAAGCGACGGCTTGACGTACACAAATTCAACTTGCAAATTCATTTTAGCAAATTTCAGTATAGAATTGTCGTCGATACTTAGAAAGATGCTCGAAACACAATTTCCAGTATACTTTCATTTAGAAATTGTGTACAGTATACTTCCAAAAGACCTGAAACTAACTGATGTGAAGTTATCTCAAATCTAATCAGTTTTTATCATTATTTATGGGCCATTGGAGGCACAACGTTTGTCGTATAAAAGTCCATGACTATTTTAAAAAAATAGTTTAGGGTTAATTAGCCCACAGCGGTGATTTGATTGTACTGATTCCTTGCTTGTTACGGATGAAGGGGATATGCCGAAAGAACAACTGCAGTTTCTTAAACATAGGTTTCAATTTTGCGCCAGTTTATTTAACAGTTTAATAAATTAAAAGTACATTTTAAGGAGCGCAGCAAGTCGTTAATGTATATGTACAAAAAGAAAAGTAAACACCTCCGCAATAAATTGAGCTGTGTTTGCATACGGTTACTTACTTCATCCAATTCTATACAGAGCGTTATTCATAACAGTAACATTATTTTAGTAAGTAAGCCGAAGGCAGCCATTTTGTAAGTCTGACTCACCGAAACTTCCAGGCTGATCCGTGCTTTGCGTTTGGGTACCGGACAATATGGCCGCCGGAGAAAAAATACTCAGTCTTAAAAGTGTACATTGCATAAGTTCTGAAACGCTGGACTGCTCAATATTACATTTAGAAATTATTTACAAAGTCATGGACAATATCTACAAATTATCAGGATATTTTATACGCAACAAGGAACGAAGTATACAGTACAAGAAATCTAAATTTTACGAACAGGATTATTGTACTATATGTTATTTTTAGACAGGAAAACCGACTAAAATGTGTCTAAAATAGAAGGTTTGTTCTCATTCTTTCTTAAGCACTGAAAGAAAAAGCTACCCCCTAATGCGAAAACTACGCCAGTGTTCGTAACTTTAAAATGAATTACGACAAATGAAATATTTGCTTCGTTAGGAATCGTTTACGCAAAATGTGTCCCTCTAACATTGAAGGTTCCAGACGTGGTGCCTTATTGTCGCATATCAGTTGACACACAGCTCCTTCAAATTCATACAAATCCATGAAGTGTTTGTGCTTTTGAAAGCACCTGTACATAGTCCACGTGACGTTTGTTTGTTGTCCATTTGATCACATAATTTAAGGAGATACAGTACGAATCGATCTTACTGTTAAATGTGACTGTTAGAAGAAGCCTTGTTTGTCCTTAAACAATGACAAATTTCTAATAGAAGAGAGGCCTGTACAAAACAACCCTTCGATTCAGTCCGTCGCAAGTCTATTTATTTACACGTGTGTAGCTCGTAGTTCCGGACGCACTCGTCACAAATCACTTTACAGCACCACACAAACTTACAGTCACATCGCTCTACGACCTGTTTCCGGATGGTATTGTACCCTCGTCCGCAGCACATGAGCTGACATCCGTCAATGGCATCCGACGTCCGGTTGCAGGAGCGTCCTACGGTGCCAAGGGAGCCCAGCTCCGGGTCGTACCGGCAGTAGTCCGGCGACGGTTCGTAGTAGATCAGATCCGCCTTGGTCGGGGGCTTATAGAGGAGTGATTTGGGTTCCAGGACCTCTACCTTACCGCGCGCCTCCGATTGGCGGACCACTCGCATCTCGGCCGCGCTGTCGTACTTGTCTTTGAGCTTGGCGCCCAGCGAGCGGAACGGCATCATCTGCCACCAACAAGACTTTAACTCACAGCTGCCTGAGATCCCGTGACATTTACATTTGAGCTCCAGGCTATCTGCTACTGCCTATAAAGGAAATTGAACAAAAAAGGAACTTTTCAGCATTTTATATGTCAATAACAACTGACTTGTTGATTATCTAAATAATGACAGTAGGTGATTTTTTGTGTGTATCCCTCCAAAAGAGTGTAAAAAGCCCCAAACTGAACTTGAAAATAAAGGCTAAATGCAAAAAAGTCGCACATTTTTATCACCACCAAAGGAAATCACGTTTTACCACCCCCGCCAAAAAAACCCTTGGTTCCCTTGAGTTTAGTCAAGTCAGTTCAGATACCCATTGATGTAAGTTGATATAAGAAATTACAGGTTGTGTCAGATTGACTAGTTTCCCGATGTTCGTAGTCTCAGACCCAGTCTGCTTTTCCTTACCTTTCGCCCAGCCTCGTCATTGTGTCTGTCCATTATCACACGGGCCCTTGTTCGCAGCTCCTTGGAACTGATGAATTTACGGCTAAATTCAAGACCAAAGTCAACATCCTCGCTGCATCCACTCCATCGCCACGTGCTATTTGGAATTATCTGCAAATTTGGCATGATAAGATCAACGATCAACGACTCCAACGATTAATTTCCGTATGGAAAACCGTAAGTAACCCTGTTCCCCGATTCTGTCGTCTGCAAAGTGGCTTGCCATTGAGGTTTTATGTTTTGACTGAGTGTGTCTCGTCAGAGACATCGTACATGTAGTTTGTACATTGCAGTCACAGTAGATCGATTTCTTCACCATGGTTTTTGCATGGGCAATACTTTTAACTGTACGGCTCGGCTGACTTGTGTCAAGAAATTCCCAGTGCCTGCAAAAGTCAAGGAGGGTGCCTTTTCACATAAGACCTTTGCTCAAACCCCCCACCCCAGGGCAAGTGAATGTGCAGTTTCTTCCGGTTAGACAACATTTTGTTTGAACAATATTGTGAGCGAAACGTGCAGCAACACGCACTCGTGTCCAAATGCGTCTATTTAATCACTGCCAAATTCCGCACTAGTTATGTTACAGTGACAGATATCAGTCCATGTCCTCCTGCTTGAATGGGGCATGCCCAAAGCTTAAGAATGAACTCAACACTAGGTACCTGGTGTGGATTGTCGGCTGGTCCCTGGTGCCTAGTGTCGCAGCTGCATTGAAGGTAATCACCGCGAGAACACGCTCGGCTGACGGAGTGCGCCACGCCCGCTGAAAAGATGGCGTTAACGAAAGCTTTCTCTCTCGAACCTGCACCCAGGCAAATGAATGATACTTAAGGAGGTTAAGCTTGATTAAAGTACTCCATAATGAGGTAGTTGAGAAGCTTTCATAAATCCCTTTATTGTGAAGAAATAAAAGAAAAAACTAAGAGTGCCATCTGAATCGGTTGGCTTATTGGATGACAAGGAGGTTGACGCCGACCATTTTTCGATATCACAAATTTGCACTGTTCTCTATTAATACCTTTTTTTTTAACAAAAGATTAAATTACATTTTGAGAAACATGCAATCGAGGAAAAGAAACAGAAACTGTGAACTTCGGTAACATGTTAAAAGTTTCTTGAAGTCTTCCTTACCGAATTGCAAAATTTTACCGAAGACAGAATTGTCCCCCCTGATTGTTGTGCAATTCCATCGTCTGCCTCTAAACTGAAATTGGCACTCGTCGATGCCCTGTTTGGCGCCCTCTGCCACGGTCGGAACAAACTCTTCGTTCTGCTCACAGAAGCGAAGCTGTCGATTCTGGAATCCGGGGATTCGCCGGCACGGGTAGTCGAAGATCTGATCCTCAGAAAATGTGTAAGCGGTCCCAAGCGTCCTGAAATTACATCAATTGAAAACTGTGGAGATCAGTTTTAAGTCGTTGAAAAAGTTTTTTTCCCGTGGAATAAGTTTGGTATTTCGCTCGTTTCAAAATTTCCAGGGTGACGTGAACACTAAGTATTGTGGGTAATTGCCTTACGCATGCGTAGTATGAGCCCTTATGATCGGTTAAACAAGAAATGTCCAATGAACGTCCAAAGAAATTAGTGAGTTCAAATGAAGTGTGGAATCAGCTCTAATGGTTGTGAATAATGCAGAAATTTTACCATGGTGCAGTAGATATTGAAATTTGGCTTATGATCAGTAGGCGTAATCCAACTGTAGCCTTTTCGTCTTACCAAGTCACACCTCCAGAATCGCACCTGAAAACTTCAAACCCCGTTCCAATTTTTCAAACCCTCTACATTGTAAATATTTCTTATTTTTGGTGGAGCCAGTCAAAGCATTGTTTGCAGAATTCAGCCTACTCACCAGCTTAAACTCATAATAGTTTTTGACAAAAATTCACGTGCCCTGTGAGAATTCTTCAGGCCTAGTGCACTTTGGCAAACCAATTTTTTTCATGAAAGGAGTTTGGTATTTTATCGCACAAATATATATCTCAAAGCACAATGCAAACGGCCTTTGATGTACACCGCAATTTTATGGTTTCACAGTCTTGGGTTCGTGAACTCGATGTGTGTGCAACGGGAAAAATGGATGTAAAATGTGCGTTAAATATGAAGAACCGTGGGATTCAACTTTCTGTTAAATTAATTGCATAGTTTTGCCGACGATATTGCAAAATTAACGCCTATACTCACGCAACTGATTACTTTAGATTAAAGACAAAAGAGGAACGAGCTTAATTCGACAACTGATACCTTCGTTTATTAGGCCTTTTTTTCAGAAAAATAAGGTGTGGGATTTGCTGATTTTTTTCGTGTTCAAAGCGCTGTGAACTTTTAAATGTCTTTGCTTAAATAAAATGTGGGAGTTTGAAAAGAGCTGTACGGTTCACGCGTCGCCAAGAGGTATGCGAATGGCGCCATCTATTGCCCTGCTATCTTAGCTTTCGTTTTTATAAGCAATTCGCCGCACGATCCAGTTCCAAGCACCTCCGTTAAAACCACCACTCGTCCCTAGCAACCATCCGCTCTTTGTAAAAAAGCAAAAAGTTGATTAAATCTGAGAAGTTCCCACCACGAAACATCACCCCGGGGAAAAACTATCAATCTTTGCCATCTTTGGGGCGAAATCCGGGCATAATCGCGTTATTATGAAAGACCAGGGTGCCTATATTCCTCCAAATCAAGGGCCACTTTTATTGGGTAAAAGGATTGAGGGAAATGGCACCTCAGTGGGCAATTGATAGGGTATCTTTATTGAGCATTATTGAGGACTGACCCCATCAAAGTATATGCCCCGGCTTTTTCTCTGTTTTTTTTTTATTTTTTTTATCGTGACTACATTGACGGAAAACTCTACACTGGCTGTTATTACACGTCCAACTTTCCGAAGTGTTGGATTAAATTCACTCTTACCGAATACCGATTTACTGCAAATAGATGTCAGTTTTAATTAAGAAGGAAGGGATCCGTTTGTACATAAAAAGTAACAGGAAGCTGGACTTTCTGAAATTGGGTATCGATTAAAACATAATTATGTAAGTGTTGGAGAAGCATCAACGTTTAGACCCTGAAGACAGTGCATTTCTCACGGCTGTCGTAGATCAAAGAAGTTGATCTACACATGTGAAAATCACTTGTGAAAAGTTTACAGTCAAAACAGCTTAAAATGATTGGTGTCATTGTGGTTCAATTTTGTTATTTTCGTAACGACATGACATTTGGAGGCGTATTTTGCAATGTAACAAATGCAAAGTAAATATTGGGACTCGGCTAATAGACCAGTTAGAGGGGTCATTTTGATATGAATAACATTCTTGCCTTGACAGCCAATTCGTCACAGGGATTGATACTGTGGCATGTACGTGTACGTTCACCTCCGGGCTGACTCTAAATGCTGAACAATCAGAGCGACCTTCTGCTGATGTGCCAAGAGAATTGAACTTTCGAAAGTCGCCAATTAAAATGAGGTTATCCTCGCAACTTCTTGTACCCTTTTATTGTCCTAAATCTAACCCTGAGGCCTTAACCTTCAAAGGTGCTAATGAAATCGGACAGATTCTTAAAAGTAAAGATACATGAACTCAGAACAACAAGGCCAATTATTCTGGGCGAGAATACATGTTCAGGAAGCCTTAACTCTCCTCAAAAGATGTTGTTCTAAAAACATTTTCGTACATTCAAAACCAGCGATTTCTAAAATATTTAAACTTTTGGCAGGAAGTATGGTGGATGAAAATTTATACAGAAACAAACAGGGCGTTAAACCCGTGTCTGATATGCACAACGACTTTCATTACAGGTAGGGTATTCTAGTCCAAATCTTTTAACTGTTACCCATCATGGCCTGGTTTGTTCTCTGACCTTGTTACATGTATTTTAATTAACAGACATTTCAACTCTTCAAACGGCCTTGCTTTAAACCTGCGGGGCCGGGTTTCTAAATACGGGATCATGTCACCCCTTTCTTCATCGTCACAAGAGCATGGCGTGTATCTGCCCTGTTACAACAAAAGGCGTCAAGTGACGCATGTCCTTCGTGGCAATGCGACATCGTCTGCCGGTGAACAATGAAATTTGTAACAGTGGGGTGTCGTTTTATGTTCAGTGACTATGTCGTGTGATACATATACCACTGCGGCAAATGAAAAAAATTAGACTTGTTCAGGTGTGAGTCAAGGAAAGGTTGATAAGCCAAGTACATGTAGCAGCGCGGAAGTCACCTAGAAGTACTCCTCCTTTGTTTACTTTCTTGTGAATTTATTCCAAAGAAATAGTGACTGGATGCTCATCGAAGCTGATTACTTTGCGGCTTCGTCAGTGTAATCTTGCAAATCTTCATGTTTCCTGCCTGTCTTAGGACGAAAAGTTCAAGCAAAATTTTCCAGCCTCGTATCTCCCCTGTTTATATCACAACCACGCGCCCCCGGTTATACGTTTTCGGCGAACTTCCAGTCTCGTCAAAAGATACCGTACTTGAAAAGTCAGAAAGGGCGTCGTTCTGAGCCTACTTAAAAACCGATTAGTTTCAATCCCTGGAGAGCACTTCTGTTTCAAGTCCATTGATGGAAACAATTCCTCGATTTCAGTGCAATTATTTCGAAGGCCATCGGAGATATGCAGGAATGGTTTATAAAGACCGCAGATTACCTGGATGTATTTTGAGATCCATGTAAATCAAAGTACTGAATAAAAACCCTTCACTGCACTGAAATGGTATTTTTTTTACAGGGCACAGTGTCCATTGTCATTGTCAAAGGTCATTGTTAAGCCTGTTGCAGTTGATGAAAACAACAAGGTTTTCGTCTGCATAGCTATCCCTTGACGAAATTCTATGAACCCTGTCAAAGGGGATGACGAATATTTCACTCTTTTTCCCTGTTTTGTTTCCATCTTCAAACAGTAAAAATAACTCACTTGGCAGATTTCTGGACGCGCAAAAATATGCCATTAATAATCAGCTTAAGGTGAAAACACACGCAGTGTTTCAAATTTACAACTTTGACACTGTTGGTATGATTGGTCATGGGAATGAATTAGCCATCATTAGTTTGACCTTTCAAGAAGACAAGCTGATGTTGTTTATCAAATACACGTGTGAATTTACGCGCTTTTTCGATTGGGAACAATTTAATCTCTTTCTGACCAAGTTTATTTGCGGTTTGGCACGGTGTCAGCGAAAGGAGCGAACAAACCTTCCTAAAAGAGTGGTTTATTACAGTAATTACAAACAGGTGTCGATTCGAGATGCACAGTTAGCTGCAGTTAATTTTGATAAGGAAATAGAGAAATGAAACGGCGAGGAGTGTGACGTCACAAACAGTACATGTCCGTAACCATCACCATGGAAACTATTTACAAAACAACAACATTTTCGTCTTGAAACCGCAATAACCCCTGACATTGTGTGTACTTATCCCCTTTCGGTATTTCAAATGACTTAGAGAAGCTAATCGGTGAATTCCTCCAGGCAAGTTTCAATGAATCGGGAATCATACTCGATTTAACCCGGAAAAGGCTGCTCAGTCTGCTTCAGGACCTGATCCCATTTTCCAGCTTTTCCACTTCAATCGAAGAGTTTAAAATAATGACTTGCAGCGCGGGCCGAGAGGAGAATGAGTTGTTTCTTTGGTTGCAGGTCTTAGCTGGTTGGTGAAAAGCTAAGAGCGTTTGGTGGCGGGACTTCCAATCACATCAAATTCACATCGACTGATGGAAAGTAACACACGAACAACGAGTTTTTGACAGGTCGGCCCCCGACCATCCACCTTCGCGAACATCGCCCCCTTCACTTTTGTGTCTTCAAGGATACCAAAGAGACTAGCAGAGAGTATCACTATACCCAAACGGATCAAATACACGACCAAGAGGGGGAACAGTAAGGCTCCTTTGTCCCCCGTGGGATTACGAAAACTACAGCCCTCAAAATTAGAGACGTCTGAAATATCCAATCTTGGCTCGGGGCGAAAAGTTGATTTCGCCTTTTCGGCAAATGGCAACGTAAGCCGTAGCCAATAGATACGTGTCAACAGTAGTTGTCCATCACAAAAAGAGGCACTGGAAGGCTTAAAGTTAGCAATTTGTCCGGTTTCTTACCAGTGGAAGGACCATTTAATAGCTTCTGTCGTGGGTCGTGACACCCGTGGCAAAAAAATTATGTCTTTTACGGCATTGCCACTGTTTCTAAAGCATTTGAGCAGAACGGGGACCATGCTTTGCTAAACTTCGAGTGAAAAATTTCCCATGTTGCCATGAACGGCAAAAACAGGTCTCAGAATACCGGCAGAGGGGATGCCTGTAGTCAACCGAGACTAACAGTAAATCGGCGGGCAGACTTCTTGCTCTGCTTTTTTTTTTTTTTAGCTCAGCCTGGCTTCTCAGCCGGGTC